ATTGGCTGATTCTCCTAATCTGCAGCAGCATATATTTTATGGCATGATGGGCACATGTGGCTTGCAAGTCTAGCTACAGACGCCCTACAAACATGCCTCTATCAGTGGACGGGAATTTTCAGTGGGTGCAGAGACAAAACTGCCGCATGCTTCCTCCCTTGCAGGGAGGTTAAACATAACTTGCTGATTAGTATGTCATTACTCTGCTGGTTTTGTTCCAGTGTCAGTTTGAAAAAAAATTGGATGCTACTGTTGGCCTGGTTGGCAGCGAGCTCATCAGCAGCCCCATATGATTTGGTGATATGCAGTTGTCCTGGTCTACTGCTTAATTCAATATTGCGTAGGTCCTTACCTACCAGGTTAAATTAGTGTGCTACTGGAGGTTACTTAAATGGGGTGACGCAGGTGGATTATAAGGAAGGAACTCTCCAACAGAGGCTGCAGCAGTTTTTTTTTTCAGCGGTAGAGGATTGCAGAGTTTGACCAACCAGTGGTTGGCACCATGTGCCCAAGATCCATTTTTCTTTCCCCAATTTTTCATCGCTAGTGTGGAAATCGTAGTGCCAAGAATTACGCTACTATCATAATTCAGCTCCATGTCTGCACATTGTCCTGTTCAGTTGTTTACAATGAATTCTGGGGGCACACATGACGCTTATAGTTTTTGTTGGGTGAGAAGGTGAGGTGAGGTGATAACAGCTAGCAGGAGGCTGTGAGGAAATGGCCACACGTCCACACGTCTGATTGGCACAATGGCATCATCGCGTGTAGGCCACATGTCAGATATATGGCCATGTCGGGTTCTGAGCATTATTATGACTAAAGACAGAGCTTGAGTCCTGGCATTAGGACGACTCGCCAACAACCACGTTGTGTGTCGAGTTCTAATGCCTGTTTCATCCCGTTCCGTGTATATGCTTGCACTGGAATTCACTCAAGATTTAATTTTACAGTTGATTTAATGGGAACCAGTCCATTAACCCGTGCTCCCACACGGGTTGAAGATATAAGCACAAGATGATCATATTTAAATAGCTACAAGTAATAAAGAAATTATAGAAATACTGTCTAACCTCTATCTAGTTACGACGAACTTATCAGTCATTGTCTCATTGATATATGTGTTTTTCATCATATTCATAGTTTTTCCCTTTTGCATGGCACCTATGTATACCTTCAATGCCGGCCCAATCTTCAAAGATGCTCATAGGGGTAGGATTTGCGTGCGTGCGTTCATATGGGTGACTGTGCATGTGTCGTGAGTGTCTGTGTTGTACAATGTAATTCGCAAAAAAACCTTAACAGTTGTGGTGAGTATTTCTGCAACTAATGTTTCGAGAGTCGAGACTTCATGAATCTAGATTTTGATTTTTAATTTTATATCTTATTAGTTCCTGCAAACTTTTAATTTTTAAGTTAGTTGTAACTCTTATGCTTATTGTACTATCTTGTTTATTAACTCTCCTTTTATATTTTATTAAATAAGAATTTTAGTTCGTAGATTATAGTTTTTAAGTACTAATGACATCGGTCACTTAAATAAATCTACAACGTGTCACTCAAAAGCAATGGTTCTAAGTGAGCTCCAAGATAGGTTAGTGGTGCTAATTTCAAGAGAATATAGAACAAACTAGGAACTAGGAAAAAACGCAAAACATCCTGGTTCAAGTGCACGTTAGCAAAACTACTTCAACAACCTGATATCTTCATCACCGGCTTAAAAGCTAGCGCAGGTCACAAAGCACAGGCTCCTTTCATTGTCCCATTGTCCCATTATCCCAAGATTGAAATCCACCTTTCAAATCTCCTACCAGTACACGTCAACACACGAATCCAAATAAAACAAAGTCATACTAATATATTAAATTTAAACAAAGCAAAAGCTGGTAGTGCCACACCAAGAGATGACAATGCGCACAAACTTGTTGAGTTTTGCCAATCCAAATTTATGCTCCTGAACATAAAATCTGGTTGCTAAAAAAACACATGACCCACCACGGGCTTATTTATGTGTGTAGACCCATGCCTGTTCGGGTCATGGGTACCTAATAGGTCGTCCATGCCCACAACAACAGGCAAACCACGCCACTAAAGCATAGTACATATTCACAATTATCATATAGTCATGTATACATATTTAAAAGGGCACGAACGATGCCTAGAGGGGGGTGAATAGGCTTTTATAAAAATTATCCTACAAAACATAGATCAAAATGGACATTGCTGCAAAAACGGCTTAGTCGGTTTCTCGACACTACTACTAAGTACACTGCAAAACCGGCTTAGCCAGTTTCTCAGTGAAACTGCAACAAATATAGTTAGCTGCCTCTTTGGCTTTCTACCCTTCCCCTCTCAAACCCAAGGTGCGTGGTGGTGCTTTTGGGAGTTCAGTAACCTGCTCAATTGAACACCCACAAACAAACATAACTGTGTAGCCACAAGCAGAAGCTCACTATAAATATGATGAAACATATGCAATGTAGATATGAGATTAAGGCAAACCAAACAAAAAAGACGCAGGGGTTTGTTTGACCAAAGTTCAGGCCTCTAAATAAGCCATACGTCTCTATTTGTGGAAATCGTAAGTGACCCAACCAAGGTCTACTCTAGCCGGTCCAAAGTGACCTCTTTCTACACTCCGGTAAGATGATATTTTCCCTTTTTTCAGAGGAAAGGTCGAGCACAACCTTACTGAATCCAAAGCGACCTCTTTCCTCCACATCAACATGACTATGCATAGCTCGATTAGTACATCGACTCAATGCAAGTACTCTCTTCTTCACCTTAATTTGGTTCTTTGGCCATCAAGCCGTCGCTTGCCTTTCACCCTTGCTTAGTACCTGGAAACCATTTCCTTGCTATCTTTACCCTATCAAGTCATCAAGTCATATCTTGCTTTGAATCAACCTTAAGCACACATTGAATACCATTCCATTTGCATTGTTGTCTTCATCAATCTGACAACCATTCTTCATCTTGAATAGAACAAGCAAGCTTCAAAGAACGAGACCATTCCATCTGCAGTTCTCATGTGTCTCGTTTATGCTTGACACACGCTTGCCAATTCATGCATTTTTTATCAATAATAATATTAGACTCATTTATTAGTTATATAATTTTCTTTCTCGATATGAGCCCAATCACACCTGAGACTAAATACCTGCAAATCTCATGAAATACATTAGTCCCTAATCGTGTTGTCATTCGATCCACCAAAAACCACTTAGGGTCTAGATACACTGTCAATCTCCTCCCTTTAGGCGATTGATGACAATACCGATTAAAGCTTACAAATGATATCTCAAATTTAGATTTTGGGTTCAATGATATATGTGAGGCTCCCCCTTAATATGTGCATATGAATGAAATTCATAAAATGGCCTCAAATGCCACTTGCACATATTAAAACATGAAAGCCTCCCCCTAACATCCTTGCATCTGTGGGGTGCAAGTGTGTGTCAACAAATAATACATGATGCAATATGACATGATATTCACTCAACAAATGAAAGATAAACATTGCACCAAGAAAACATGCATATCACACTAACAGTAACATCCTCACACAAATGTAATGTTCATCACACACAATTGCATTCATTACATGACAGTTCTAAAAGATCGAATAGACCATCCCTATCCGCTGCCTCCCAACATCACAACAACCCCTTTTATCGTGTGCATGACACACTAGTCTGCTAGCTTGACTACCTTCCTACACCATATGTAGATCCATGGTGTAGCTTTCCCTCCCATGCGCTGTCCACGGCCTTACCACGTGCGCCACCGTTGGAGATGCCAAGCATCGAGGCGAGAAAGTTGATGAAGAGGCCGTGCCAGCACTACCTCTGTACCTCAACACGCAAGAGGGCCTAGCGGTCTAACCTCGTTGTGCGTGATTTGATTTTTTGCCAATTTGATTTGTGATATGTTTGTGGGACGCCATTGATTTATGGTATACTTAGACAGTTGAATTCAATTGTTTGCTCAATTACGATTAGATTTGGAGATTCATAGCCTATTACTGTTCGATTCGTGCTTGATTATTGTTCAATCTCTATGTAATCTTGAGTCCTAGAAATTTGTTTGGTACATCCGCTTGCTATCTAATTTGAGCTCACGAGCTACTTGAGCCGGCTCCAGCTGAAAAATGAGCCAAGCCGAGTCAAGCTTTCCGAGCGAAGCCAGCTTGATATCTCTCCCTAGCCACACCACAACGCCGGGAGCGGTCGCGGCTGGTGCCTAGTGGCTAGTGGTGCCACAACCACGCTGTGTCACCGCAGTAGCAGATCGCTGATCGCTTGCGTCTCCTGAAAAGGCGCAGGGTGCCGTGCCAGACTGCCGGTGCCACACTTGCCAACGCTCGCGTTCACCCCTCTCCACCTTTTCTTTTTTTAACTGTCGCCCTAGCTGCTTCTCTGCCCAATGGACCCCACGTTTCCCTTCAGCCTGTTCGCTGGTTGGTTTCTAGGCTGATAAACCTAGCTGATGCTGGTTTGCTGTGAGAGAAAAACACCGTTGGATGACTGATAAACCCTGATTGAAACAGCGAACATGTTCCTTAACTCAAGCAAATTTAAAATTTTCCGCAAGAAACCAGACAGGCCGCAGTTATTCCCGCCCACCACGCGCACTTCCCCACCCGTCCCTCCAGTTCAAATTACCGAGCCCACCGGCCCTCCCAGGCGTGCGGGCCCCACAACGGAGCGGGGCTCAGACGTCAGTATGACTGAGATCCGCGCAACCCCCTTCCGCCTACGGCACTACGGCAGCAGAAGGAGCAGAGGCTATAGCGCAGTGTCGCCTCCCACCTCCTGTCGACTGTCGTCTCGGTCTCGCTTTAAAATCCCGCGACGCCGTGTCCGCTCGCCTCTTTTGGAGCAGGCCATGTGAAGCCTCTGACCTCCCGATACCTTCCCCTTCCTGCAGTGCTGCAGCAGCAGAGGACAGCGCGGCGTTCGCCTCACGGGGGCGAGAAGCTTCGGCGAGATCCGTGCGCGATGTCGTCGCGGCCGTCGACGTCGTCCTCGCGGCGGAGCAGCTCGCCGTTCTCCGCGGGGCACCGCCGCCCGCCCACCGCGTCCTCCTCCTCCTCGAGCTCGTACTTCAGCTCCGGCCGCCTCATTCCGCGCTCGTCCCCGTCCTCCGTCAACTCCAGCTTCTACGGCGGCGGGGGCGGGGGCAGCACGAGGTCCACCACCCCCGGCCGGCGCAGCTCATCTGTAGCGCCAGCGCCGGCGCCCGCGCCCGCGCTCGCGCCAGTGCCGTTCCCGAGCGCGGACGAGCTCGTCATCGAGGACACCTCCCGATCCGGCGACAGCATCTCCGTCACCATCCGATTCCGACCGCTCAGGTGGGGATCTCGGAAGGAATGCGCGGATCTGCTCGCGAGGGGTTGTGAGTAGGGTTGTGGGAGTGCTTGAACTGGTTTTGAGCTGGATTTGGTGTGGCTGCAGCGAGCGCGAGTTCCAGCGCGGCGACGAGATCTCGTGGTATCCAGATGGGGATCGGCTTGTGCGGTGCGAGTACAACCCGGCAACGGCTTATGCTTATGGTGAGTAGCCTTCATTCAGTTCCGCCTTCGTGCAATTGGGTAATGCAGGTGGCGGGATTGGGGATTTGGATAATTTAGCCATTGGAATTTCATCCTTGAGCATTTTTTGATTTGGGGTTTCCGAAATTGATTATTATGGATTCGAACAATTAATGCACAGCTGAAATTAGTACACGTGGCCTTTGATTGGGCTTCATGATGAAAACAAAATTTAGGTCCTGGTCTGCAATTTTGGAAAGCACCCGTTTCTGTGGAAGTCTGTAGTTAATAAACAGCGCCTGTTCTGTGGAAGTCTGTAAAAACAGTCACTGTTATGAGGTTTGCACCATTCCATGTCCTTTCAAGCATATTATAGAGGTGTGCTTTCTGCCGGTTTTTCATTGGTTAGTTATACAGCATCCCATGAGTTTTGTTATTCTGACTGCCTGAGATGATCAAGCAAACTTCATGTTGGCAGTATTGGTTCAGCTGCGGCCAGCCCAATTTGTTTTGGATTCTTAAATGTTTGAAAGTTGTGTTCACAGATGAGATGCATGCAAGTTGTTATCATGGTCTACTAGGACTCTGCCCGTTTTGTTGCTTGCAAAGGAATATGCTGGATGTGCACATACTTCAGCTCATGTTGAGTACAGTGAATAGTCTGGACTCTGGAGTATACCTTGTCCAATGTCAGGTCAGCATGAAATGAGTCAGTGCGACAACCAGACAATGCATCCAGTGGATGCCATTATTCACTGTTACACATAGCTCAGCATAGGGTTGGTCAGATCCTTCCAGTGGATGCCATTACTGGAGTGTGTGGGCATGAGCCCATGACCCCGAGATGTGGCTGTGCCAAAGTGGGTACATCAGATTCCTGTAGTTTATCGAAATTCCGAGACACTGATTGCTGGCTTGCTGCATCATGGTTTCTGTTCAAACTTTCAAGTTACCACTGAGTTTGCAAGTATGGAAATATTTCTCTGAGGAAGTATACAGAGATATTTGCAATAGTCTTTAGGTATGATCACCTGCTGGGCATTATAAGCATTGAACACTGAGTCCGAAGGTGCTACAGATGTGCCATTTGCAAAAAAAACTGTGATCTGATGGCAAGATGCAGTAAAACTTGGTAGAATCAACTAGGCTTTATGCGGTCTTCTATGGCCCTTTTGATTATCCCGTAACATGAACAGGAGACGATGGATAGGTATGAGGTGCTGAGTGAGCTGAGGCTCAAGTGCAATCGTCACAGATGGAAAGTTGATGCATGAGCTGAACAGAGGAGAAAAAAAATGGTAGCAGCATTTATTTTTGATAAGCCAATGGCTATGCCCTATAGCTGTTACTAAACATTTGCACTGATGTTTTTTAGCCCATTATAATTTATGTTCCTAATCGCAGTCAATTAATCTGACTGAATCCAGTATTTAACTTCGACATGCATATTAATTATCATATAGTCCGTGTTGTGTTCATCTGCTATATCAACTTGGTGACGCTTGGTAATTAATGCCTATTTAATTATTTACTTATTTTTTCAGATAGAGTTTTTGGGCCTTCGACAACCACTGAGGCTGTCTATGATGTTGCAGCCCGGCCTGTTGTAAAAGGTGCTATGGAGGGCATAAATGGTATGCTAGTTTTGTCTTATTTAGATCATCTTAAGTTTATGGTATGCTGCCATGCCTTATTAATCTGAAAGCACTTCTTATTGTGATTTTTCGTTTACTTATACCATACTGTATCATATATTGTGGGAATTCTATGTTCACATGTAAACATGTAATTTTACTCTTATCATTATGAACTAATGGTGCACATTTTCTTCCTAACTATTCATTTTACTCTTACCAGCATTTGTTATGAATTAATGTTTACCTTGTATAACGAGTTGTTAACTTATCAATGCATCTGCGCCATTTCTAAATGCAACTTTGTACCAACTTGTAGGGACAGTTTTTGCCTATGGCGTAACAAGTAGTGGGAAGACCCACACAATGCATGTAAGTTCTCATATTCAAAATCTGTTGAAAGAATTACCAAGCTAGTTTCATAGGAAAGTAGAAAGCCATAACTATACGAGCATGTAGTTTGTATGTCCATGTTTCCTGCTGGGATCCAGACTCCTGAATCCTCTCTATAGCACATTGCAACTTTCAAGATATTTTCTACAATTGCTACTGCAAGCAATAGCAAATATGGTTTCTGAATGCGACTTTGACATATTCATTTTCATGAATAATGTTGGTAAATATATAGTTGTCTGATTTTTGAAGGCAGCATTATTTTTCTGATCCCTTTGTTTTCCTAATCTTTTTTCAGGGTGACCAGAATTGTCCTGGAATAATCCCACTAGCCATCAAGGATGTCTTCAGCATGATCCAAGATGTATGGCAGTAAATGCTTTAGTTGAATAATACTTAGTAATCCTTTATGATTATTTTCCTAACTCAGAAGTCATAATGCCTTTATTTCAAATGAGCATGTTTCCTGTAAAATGTTTAAATGGACGGACACTTTGACACAAGAATACCTCCAAAATCTGCACTGGTGTCTTCTTCATTGCTTGTGTATTCCTGTGTGTATATCCATAATACTGAATGGTGTCATTTAGAAGCTAGAACACTGTGTATAACCCAAGCAAGGCGTGTAGTGTGTTTATGCAACTTGGAAGTGTTTCTTTGTTGCCCAAGAAACTAGAGCTTTATGTCTTGTCCTGTTTACTTGAGTGCTGGTCCTTTCTTCAGATTAGCTGCATGGGAACTTCTAGTTGGCTTTATACAAGAGATAATCTCTGGTTAGTTTTTATTCAACAAGAGGCGGGGAAACTCCTAATTTATTTGGTTAAGGGTTGTGACAGGCTGAGTAGGAAGATTGGTGTATCCCAGAAAGTTGTGGTTACAAAGTTTCATATGAGCAGACTCAATAACATACGTTCTTAAAAATCCTATTTTCTTGTAAATCTTAATGTTTTCTGAAATGTACCATGTGCTCAATTCTACCCTGTATCACATCATCTACTCTGGCTATTACTTGACTGCAACCTTTGTTTTTACTATCTTGATAAACAGAGTCCTGGAAGAGAATTTTTGCTCCGTGTGTCGTACCTTGAAATCTATAATGAGGTATGCTACTTCTACTTGTGCCAGTTTGAAAGAAAAAAAATCATTTTCATAAATTTCTTGCAAGGCATACCTTTGGTCTTACTTTATTTGATTAGTCAACGACCTTTTGTTCAACTCACCATATCTGTTCTTATCTTGAAATCTCGATTGGCCTGGTTCTTGACAAAAGGGTCCTTTTTTGATAGTTCTATCCAGAATACACTTCCACTTAGTCATATATCCCTTTTGTTTGGTTGGTTACAAAATTTTGAGCTATGCGCAATTTTTTTTTGCGAAGGGAGCTATGCGCAATTTATATTTGTTCTGCGGTTGTGCTGTACAAATACTGGCCAAGCATTTGTTTTATGGTCATATTAGTTACAACTGAGTCTCTGAGGACTAAGCAAAATATTGATGCCATATTCTATTGCAAGGGTACCTGTAATCTTATTCCCTTTCAGCTTGTACCATATGGATAGATTCAATCTGGATATCTAAATGCAGGTGATAAATGATCTACTTGATCCTACTGGCCAAAATTTGCGTGTGCGGGAGGATGCACAGGTTAATCTCTAGAATCTTTTGTTGCATTCTCATGATATACTGATATAGTGAATTGTCAAATAGTTTTAACTGAGTGTTTTAGTTGCAAACTTGCAATATATCAAAACTGATCCGAGTTGTTCTTAGATAAAATAATCTTAGTGTTTTAATCAGAATTATTATCTGATGCAGTTTGTTACCTTCCATTGGTACAAATTTGTGATCTGTGAAGTCAAAATGGATATTGTTTATAGTTGAGTGCTATTTGGTTCTGAGAGTGATTAGCTTGATATTATATTATTTTTCTGAATTATATCATAAAATGTCTTTCATATGTAACCTTCCTATGTTGTTTTTTTGTTGATTTACATTGCTCCCTTTAGTGTATGCAAAGAAAGCTCATAGCTTTATCAATTGTAGTTACTATTTTGTTTACGAGCTTATCTGATCGCTTCCTTTTTCTCTCTCTAGGGAACCTATGTAGAAGGAATAAAAGAAGAAGTAGTTCTGTCTCCAGGACACGCTCTTTCTTTTATTGCAGCGGGTGAAGGTGATTGCATTATCTTTCTCAGTTTCTAGTATGTTACTAGCGAATGATTTCAGGGGAGTTGGTTAGGTAGCTTGAGTAGTGCTCCTCAGGTCCTGAGTTCGACTCCCTGTGGGAGCGAATTTTAAGGTTAGGATTAAAAAAATCCCCTCATTGTCCTACGCCAAAGCACAGGTCTAAGGTCTAGCCCCAGTCGTGGTCGTTGTGTTTGTCCCACGCTGTCGTTGTCACATACTCACATGGGCTATGGTGCCGCTGTGTATGAGTGGGGCAGGGGTTCAGAGGTTTTCTTGACCTGCGTGAGGTCTTCTTCTTAATCCAATGCCCTGGGGCTGTCTTACCCTCCATGAGTCGAGTTTTTTTTTCTTGCTGTGGCCGTTAGAGGTGACAGTAAGTACAGTGTATTAGTATCTCATAAAATAGTTTTTAGTTCCTGTATCATCTTTATTTATGGCTTCTTTCAACATTTCTATCAACCTGTCAACTAATTGGTTTGGTTAGACTCCAGAAACATGTTTCAGTGAGATACACACTTTTAGTTATTCTGCTTTCTCTAAATTTTTAGTCTGGTTGTGAACCATATGATTTTCTTCTCTTATAAGTTCTTTGTCCTTGCCTTACAATCTTAGGTTTTGTTTAAATACCATGTTACCAATCGAAGTTCTAGCTACAAATGCAAATGCACAGTATCCTTTACTGATATGCTAATAGACTCTTTGTCTGAATATTCTCAACTATGTCTAGTACTCCCACTATTCTCAAACACAATGTGAAACTTCTTGGAAAAAAAAACAGAATTATTGTACTTTGAAAACCTAAAATCTTATTGATTTTGTGGAAGTATATACTGAAATAATACCTATTTATACTCTGATTTCTAAGGTTCTCAAGTACCACTATACTAAATTGACCATCCATGACTTATCCTTTTCCATGCTGTTATTCATTTGGTTACCTAGTTCTTTTAGTATCCAGAGCTTCATTGATGTTAACTATTGGAATGCTGTTTTCTTTTCCTGAAACATAGGACATAATTTCAGTTGTACAACAAAGTGGCGTGACCTCGTTTTTACACCATAACTAATACTATGTTACATGACAGAACATCGGCATGTTGGCTCTAACAACTTCAACTTATTTAGCAGCCGAAGTCATACTATTTTCACATTGGTGAGTTCATAATTTATTTCAGCATTTAGTGATTACTGAAGTTCTGCAAATGTTTCGCATTTGTTTTTTTTTTCTTATGCCACAAATACTCCTGAGTTCCAGGATTCACTGTGTCATATTTATTTACCACATTTGTGATATATTTCTCTCACCCTTTTTCTTAATACAAAGATATGTCGCTATCCTGCGTGTTTGAGAAAAAAACCCCCACATCTGTGATATGTTGTATTTCTTTATCACCCATAGCATATCTGTGTTCTTCTTTAGATGATTGAAAGCAGCCCCTGTGGTGATGAGTATGATGGGGTCATATATTCACAGCTAAAGACGTTGTTCTGGTCCTAAGAAACATTCTGTTTCCGCTCCAGTTTCCCTGGATTTCTAATATCATTTTTACACATTTTTCATTTTCTAGAATTTGATTGATCTAGCTGGCTCTGAGAGCTCGAAGACAGAGACTACAGGGTTAAGAAGAAGGGAAGGGTCATACATTAACAAGAGCCTTTTAACTCTTGGAACAGTAAGTTCTCATTGGCAATCACCTGTGATAATGGCTGGTTTCCCAGTTATTATCAGCAGCTTTGAAGACATTGGCCATTGTATAATTAATTATTACTTGTATCAAAATTGAAGCTGAGCTTAGGATGGAAAATAGCTGGTATAATATGTGGTGAGATTAGCTTGATTTTATTGTCGGACACAAGTGCTCATTTGCAGCTTCATTTCTTTTGGTTCAAAGGTCATTGGCAAGCTCAGCGAAGGGGAGGGCAACACATATACCCTATCGTGATTCTAAGTTGACCCGTCTGCTACAATCATCATTAAGTGGCCATGGTCATGTCTCAGTAAGTATTAACTTTTACAACTGCTTCTCTGGGAGTCATTCCTTTTGGAACTCATTCCGTTGTTCTGTTCGAGCATTGAAGTGAAGCCCTGAAACCTTCCGAAGTAGTCAGCTGATACAATTACTTTTTCTTATGCAGCTAATTTGCACAATTACCCCAGCATCAAGTAACATGGAAGAAACCCATAATACATTGAAATTTGCAAGCAGAGCAAAACGTGTTGAAATTTACGCCTCTCGCAATCGGGTAAATAGTTAGGCATAGAAAACTGATTTCCTGTACCACTATTCTAGAAAATGAAATTAAAGACATAATGATCTTGACTGCCCAGATAATTGATGAGAAATCATTGATCAAGAAGTATCAGAAAGAAATATCCTCTCTAAAGCAAGAACTTGATCAGCTAAGGAGAGGAATGATTGGTGGTGCCAGCCACGAAGAAATTATGAGTTTACGTCAGCAGGTATGTTCTGTTTGTTTGTTATAACTGCAGAATAAAGCTGTAATTAAGTTGTTATGTGCTCCTTGATTATTTTTTGCGTTGGTAAGTTGATAACTGCTTGAAAAGTACTTTTCTTTCTTTTATCTTTATAGTTGGAGGAGGGTCAGGTCAAGATGCAGTCTCGTCTGGAGGAGGAAGAGGAAGCAAAAGCTGCTCTAATGAGCAGGATACAACGCTTGACCAAGTTGATACTTGTTTCCACCAAAAACAATATTCCTGCCTTGACAGATGGTCATCAGCGGCACAATTCTGTCAGCGAGCAAGATGTAAGTATCAATTGCCCTACCATTACACATTTGTATATATTCTTCCTTCATGCTTCTGTTTCATTTGGAAATATGAATTATCTGTATTTTCAGAAGTTAAGCACTTCACAAGATAGTTCTACAGTTGTCCAAAATGAGGGCACCACAAAAGACCCCCTACCAGACTCCTTAGATGAGATCAATCAATTAAGATCTGGCAGTGGTGAACATTCTTCAGTTACTGGTTCTGCAGCAGATTCAATGCAGGTATATAACCTGCCCATTCTGCTAAATTTTGCAATATTTGTTTCCTTTTGTAAGGTGTTCTCTATTGTTGTAGTGCTATACTCAGTAGCCTCTAAAATTTTGTTGTGACTTCCTACTGAATATGGTTTTATGAAAGACAATTAATGGACAGAACAATGCATGTTAAAAAGTGGATCTTATTCTACAGCGAGCATGCTAATTCATAAATTATTATTTGTTAAAACTTGTTGTGCTTGGAATATCAGGCGGGATTCACGGCATCAGATCATATGGATCTACTGATTGAGCAAATTAAGATGCTCGCTGGGAGGTCGCATTTGGTACCAGTTCGCTAAAAGACTAATTGAACAGTCCATAGATGATCCTGAAGGGACAAAGGACCAAGTATTCAACTTACACTTCAGTTTTTTTTTTATGTACCTTCTGCTCAGTATCAATCTCATTCCATTTGAAGAGGAACCAGTGATTAACAGTGCTATATGCATTCCTGACATGCATGAAATAAGCCTTTGTGTTCAATTTCATGGCAGGCAAAATATAACATTCAACATAACTGGGTTCTGCACTCTATTTTAACATGTGTTGAACTGTTGCTCATAATATTCGCATATGTTCTTAGGACACCTTCAGTAATAGAGCCAACTTGCTAGCTCATATGAAAAGATAAAAATGGAGTAACCTGACATGCTAGTATAGAAAAACGTGTGAGCATGGACACATGAATCATAGAAAAGTGTGTGAGCTTAGCTCTTCTTGAAGAGCTACCTTATCATTCTCTCTCTTTTTAATGAATAAAAAAATTCTATGAGCTAGTTGTTTTAACACTGTTGGAGCTGCCCTTATAACAGATAGAGAATTTAGAGCGTGAAATCCAGCAAAAGAGAAGACATATGCGAGCCCTGGAAAAACAAATCATGGAAAGTGGTGAGGCATCAGTTGCTAATGCATCCATGGTGGATATGCAGCAGGTGATATGTCCAGCATATGGATGCCCCTCTTAGTGGTTCCTGCAATTTTTCTCTTCAATACTAACGCGTTTTGTTTTGTGAAAACAGACTATTACAAAACTAACTGCTCAGTGCGGTGAGAAGGCTTTTGAGTTAGAGGTAATCTTCTTGAACTTCTACTGTGATTCCATCAAACTCAAATACCTGGAAATTTTGTTTTAACAATTGTTTGTGCTTTTTCGGGACAGTTAAAGTCAGCTGATAATCGTGTTCTCCAGGAGCAGCTACAGCAGAAGGTCCTCTCTCTCCCCACTTCTATTTTCAATTTAAATTCTTCAAGATGACAAAAGTTTGATCCAAAAAGTTGTACTAATTGCAGAATGCGGAAATCAATGATTTACAAGAAAAAGTTTTTCGTCTTGAGCAACAACTCTCAGCAAAAGTGGATATATCCCCTGAGCAGGAGACTGATTGCGCACAGCAGGAGGCTATTGATTTGAAATCTAAACTTCAGTCCAAGGTTCTTTTACTAATATTGTTCTTTCACTTTGTGTATTCGATACCCTTGCGCAGTATACCTACCTGTACAATTTGGCATACTCTGCAACATAGAATATTAATGGTTTCTGCTACATCCTTCGTGAATTTCTAGTTGATAGAAATAGTATGCATGTTCTTTAGATGGCTATAAGCAACTATTTGTGTTTTATGCTTGCCTTGTTGACATTTAAGTCAACCAACTTTGCTGATGTACTTTGGCAGGAAGCTGAAATCGAAAAGCTGAAATTCGAGCATCTGAAAATTACTGAGGAACATTGTGACTTGATCAATCAGAACCATAAATTAAGTGAGGAAGCTGCATATGCAAAAGAATTGGCATCTTCAGCTGCTGTTGAACTTAAGAATTTGGCTGAAGAAGTTACAAAGCTATCTGTACTAAATGCGAAGCAAGCAAAGGAGTTATTAGTTGCTCAGGAGATGGCACATTCAAGGGTTCATGGTAGAAAGGGTCGTACAACCAGTAGGGGCAGGGATGAGGTTGGGACATGGAGCCTCGATTTAGAGGACATGAAAATGGAGCTACAGGCCAGAAGGCAGAGGGAGGCTGCTTTGGAAGCTGCTTTGGCAGAGAAGGAGTTTCTCGAAGAGGAGTACAAGAAAAAAGTTTGACGAGGCAAAGAAAAGGAACTATCTTTGGAAAACGATCTAGCAGGCATGTGGGTTCTTGTTGCTAAGTTGAAAAAGGGGCTTTAGGCATATCTGATTTGAATGTTGATGATCGAACTGTTAACCTAGCTGATATAACTAACGGCACAAAGGAAAACAAAGGTGAAAAGAATTTTGTGCTAGTTGAGAAGCAAATTTCAGACGATTCTGTTAAGTCACTGAGCACAGAAGGACATAGAAGTCCGGAGTTTGAACCACTTCTTGTTCGTCTGAAGGTATATACATTCTTTTAGTTTACATGTATATTTTGCTAGTTTTTGAAGTAGTGTATGCTATCAACTCCATATAACTTAAGTCCATCATGCAAAGCTGGCTCTGGAAATCTGAAAGTAGATTGTCGATGCTGCAGTGGTGCCTTTGTAACTAATATTAACATAACTTGGTGTACAGAAGGGAGTATGCGTATTTCAGTAGCTGTCTTGTTGCTGAATTGTAAAGCCTGAGTGTAATCTGTAGTCAGATGTAGACATCTTTTATGTTTCAATTGGTGGTGGCAACCCAGCTCTTAAGTGACAGTTGCTTCTGGATTGCTGATAGCAAGAGCTACAACCTACGTGCCACTTGTGATTTGTGAACCTAATAACTTCTTCTGTGTGCAGGCTAAAATTCAGGAGATGAAGGAAAAGGACACTGATCCCCTGAGCGAAAAAGATGGCAACTCACATGTCTGCAAAGTTTGCTTCGAATCTGCAACTGCTGCAGTATTGCTTCCTTGCCGGCATTTTTGCTGTAAGCTGCCTACTCTCCTGTGTTTACGTGCCACTTTTGCTCAACATTGATACTGCATTTTCCCCTCAAAAAAACATTGATACTGCATTTTTCGCTAACGGACGGTGTTCCTTTTCAGTGTGCAAGCCTTGCTCGCTTGCCTGTTCGGAGTGCCCTCTGTGCCGCACAAGAATAGCAGACAGGATAATCACCTTCACATGAACTGCGTGCTAGCTTCAGGTGCCAAACACTTCGCGGCTTGCATGTTGGTCTCACGCCAACGCTATCCCTATGAAATTTCCTAACGCTGTGCTGTGTATCTCAGCCAGGTCATTCTGTAGCACGCATTCTCTTGTAAAATCGCCAGTGGTATATGTTTCTCTTTTTCCTTAGCAAAGAAGGTGCCTTTTATGTTCCTTCTGTGTTGTATCGCCATTCTTTGGGTTCTCCTACATAGCTTCACCTTACGTTCTTTGTTGTATCGAGGAGTTACAAATGATGACTTCTCGCTCTGCAAATATGTATAGATATGCGACTCGACGCTGTAACACATTTTGATTGTCTGCCCCGAAGAAAAGCAGTGAACGACATGATGACGTGTGTATACTGCTTCTAGTTACCTACTCCCCTCCTGCCAAAATATTTTCTCCGTCCACTTTTAGACTTTTTGTTTGACCGTTCTGTCTTATTCAAAAATTTTATATAAATATTATTTATTTTGTTATGACTTACTTTATCGACACTTGAATAATGATTTATTTATTTTATTATTTGCATAAAAATTTAAATAAGACGAACGGTTAAATAAGAAGTCTAAAAATAAAAAACGACAAATGGGACAAAAGGAGTAAGTGTATATCTAGTATTCAAAATTTATCCTAAAATAAGTTGCCATTAGGTATGAGACAACCTAGTTTAGTAGGCTTTACCACTTTCTCTATTCTTAAAGTGTAATCATTACATGCTTCAACACCTTTTCATAGGACTCACAGATGCCAACGCACGGGAGTCTCAAAATTTTCTATCACAATAAGAGAAAAAAAAAAAAAATTGTGGGTCAAAACCAATAGATAAATAATAAAGTGTTCGCCCTATATTGCAACAACAGAAATAATGGAACAAAATATGCATAAAAGACGAATTTACATTTCATATTTAAAGAAAGTCTAAATTAGACTGGTCAAGTGTAAATAAAGAGAGACCAACTTCTTGAGGCTCTGATATGCGATGCCCAGAATTCAAGCTTGCAACTTCTTGCAACGCGAGGAACTCAAGATCGTGCTCCTGAATTCAAGCTTACAACTTCTTGAGCAACGTGCTCCTGAATTCAAGCTTACAACTTCTTGAGCCTTTGATCTGTTCCTTTCCTGAGTCCACAGATATTACAACTCCTTCAGGCTAGCAACAAAAGCCATCGTCACTCCTCTATTCTATCTGAGAAAGCCATCCCCGATAGATAGCTTGTTTCTTCAGATATTCAGCTGGTGTAGTTGTTAAATTTCTTTAGATGAAAATGATCTGCAGGTTTCATATTGACTATTGATGAAAAACTCCATCAATCTAGGAAATATTCTGCAGTCTAGAAAACTAACAGGCAATAAGCTGATTCTTTTAAACAAAATATGCAACAATGGCGTCAGTAGGAAACTGCACATTGACAAAGCTGTATGGACTACTTGCAGAACATAAAAAAAAGAAGAAAACTATTTGCTGATAGCTAAAAGTTATATAGATACAAAACAGAAGTGTAACTGGCATTGCTGCATGATGACTTGATTTTTTCAGAATCATACTTAATATGCACAATGATCTATCAGCTTATAAGTCTGTTTACTGTAGAGTGTGGAACCCTATCATGAATCATAGAATCATACATTGGCCTATCAATGAGAAATTTCATCCATTTTTCTGCATGAGTGGTGAATCTGAATTTTCAAAGTGCAGGACATCATAGGGATAGGGCTTAACTTGCTTATGCAATACCTGTTTTGCAAGCAAGGTAATTTGTTGGACAAAGTATATGGAATGGTCACAGCTACTGATTGTGTACAGATTGTTATAGGGAATAGTCATGCTAACTGACCAGCTCTTACTGTGAGGAGTTATGGAGTTTCAGAGGTTTGGAGATGCAGCTGGCTACATGATGGCAGAGGCTGCAAGCCTCCCACCTGATTAGCCAGCTGAAATTCGGAGATGGTAATAGTATAAAGGATGTGTCTGCCAAATGGACAGTAGGAGGCCAACTCAAATGTCTGTTGTGCTGAATTTTACTTTGATACGATAGCACATAACTACAATTCATAAAAACTGTAATATGAAGTAAAATACTGAGGTCGTGCTGAATGGAACTGAGGTCCCGCACACTGGTTGGTTTGTTGTGCTGTTTACCTGAAAAATGGAACCAAGCTACAGCTGCAGAAAAGTGATTGAGTAGGTGAAATGAAAATTCAGATCAAAGGCACAGCTGTAGAAGATGACACTGAACAGCAAGAGCAAACAACAGTGACGGGCTGGGCATGACATTATTGTTGGAATACTACTCCAATCTTCAAAGATAAGTGAGGCCATGGAATATGCTCCATGTGATCGGTGTGGACAAATGAGTAATGATATAACAATTATCAGACTACATATCAAAGCTAGATGGTCCTTGAGGAAGATACATAGGGGAATACAAAAATAAAAAAGTGAGAAGGGATTGATTTGCATATGACCTGAACACACAAAAGTTAATTAAACTTCACCCCAGTGGTTGTAGTCAGTGTTCCCACGGCAACCTTTCCCTGCAGCACAACAACCAAACAAAACTGTCCTTTTATTTTGCATAAAGAAAAATCAGTAGGTAACATGTTTTTGGTTCTTGCATAAAGAGTACCTTATGAGAAAGACACAACTTGCTGCTAGTTAACTCCTAAGAAAAACAGTGAAAGTTAGCAGCTGCAAGGTTAACACATTTCCGTTAAGTTCAAATAGGAGCCATGTGTCTGAGTGGCAGTGCAAAGAAACATATGCAATAACTGAATCACTCAATTTAGCAAGCATATGAGAAGAAAAGGGCTGCTGGAACTATATACCAGGGCCAAAATTATATAATAGCTAAAAGATCATTGTTTTAAATGGTTGCACATTGTTGTTGGCATCAGCACATTGCTTTAGATGGTTTCAAATGCCTTACCAAGCAGAGCAAGCAGATTGCATTAACATGACATTGTTTTTCTCTAGTTGGATACTGAGTTCACCATCAAACTCGCCAAATCAGCTTATTTCTGAATTTTATTCGAATGAACTCTAATCTGAATTTTCTTTAAGCAAGGCAACAATTACGAATTTATTGATGTTGGTGATTAATTTCTGCAGATTTGTATGGTCAATACATGAAGAATATGACTTCTAAGATCAATGCAGGCTGCCAAAAGAAGATTGTAAATACTGAACAATAAATTAATAAGCATTCACAGTGGACAGTGAGCAAATTTGATTACTTGTTAGCAAGAGCAAATTTCATAGTATTAGCTTGACTTTTCTCAAATCTTCAGGTCTGAGGACAAAGACAATACCTGGTGCTAGGTTGGAGTCGACTTGCGTCATGCACAGCAGCCGGACTGCAGGAGTCACACAGGAGTCAAGTCGCTCCTAGCCACTCGTCCGGTGTCGAGCAGCTGAGGTCAGTTGCGACTTGGGGCGAGCAGCAGTGCACCTCCCCTCTCCTCTACGGCGCCCCGGCAGCGTCTCGGACCACCTCCCTCTCCTCCAGGCTCCTAGGACGGGACTTGGACTGCAGAGGCCAGGTCGTAGCAGCATATTGGGGAGGGAGCCGTGGATCGAGTACAGGAGGTCCAAGATGCAGACGGCGAGGCGGACTCGCGGCGGCCGGACGGCGCTCCGGGTGGCAGTGACTGGGCGGGATGGGCGTCCGGGATGGAGGGCGCGGAGGGCGGTGGCCGGAGGGAGGCGCCCCCGGGCGGCGCGGAGTGCGACCTCCGTGCGGCGCGTAGGGAGTCCAGGTGGGGGAGGGCAGTGGGGCTGGCGGCGCGGAGCGAGGCGTTCGGGCGGCGCGGAGGGCTGCGCAGAGGGAGTCGCGGTGGGGCCACGGAGGGAGTCGCGGCGGGGGAGCTGAGGGAGGGAGCCTGGTCCCACCTGTCGGCGCGGGGTGAATGCGGGGAGTCGGGGCAGACCGAATTGACTGTGGACGATTCCAATTTCACCGTAAGAACAACGAGGACAGAAATACAACACCTAGATTTGGTCCAGTACAGGAAAATGTCACCATCCAAAAGTTAGCCTTCTCCAACATAACGCCCCGCCGACCCCTCCATTCTCGAGCACCCCGCCCCAGCGCCCCGCCTCTCCCTGTCGCCGGCGCCCCTCCCCTCTCCCTCCCCTTCTTCTTCCCCGGCCCTTCCGATGGCGGCCGGATCCGGCCCTCCCTCTCCCGGATCTGGTCGGTGGCGGCCGGTGGTGCGTGGTGGTGGTGGTGGTGGCCAGCGGCTGTGGTGGTGGTGGTGGCCGTCGTGCTCTGCTTCTTCCACCCGCCCCCACTGCTGCTTCCACCCGCCGCCACCCTTTGTCGGATCCGAGCGCGGCCGGAGCTGAGCTCCTCACCGCCGCCGTGCTATGCTTCTCCTCCACCTACCACTGCTATGCTTCCCCGCCGGCGCCATGGTCCCGCCTCGTTGTCGTGGAGGCGCCGCGGTCCCGGACCAGCAGCAGCTCGCGTGGAGGAAACGCAAAGGGACGGAGAGAGGACGCAAGTTTGGGTACCGTGTTGCCTCCGACGCAAAATGCCTCCCGTGTTTGGGTACTCCGTTGGAGGGTGGTTTTTTGCCGCAAAAGCACTGTGCACTATGCATTTTGGGGATGGGTCACGGTTTGCCAACACTGTTGGAGACAACCCAGGAGTAGAGATTGCATATTCGGTATTCCCGATTGAGATGTATGATCCGATTAGTTGGAGGCATGTAGCCCTCTGATCATCTATGAAATGAGGAGTGTGGGTGATTGGAAAAAGACAAATCTGTGATAAGATTTTGTATGAAACTAAAAAACATAGTTTACAAAATTGCATCGAAATTAAACTTCAGATATAGTAATTGTGTTTGTTTTTACAATAACTTGTTTAAAAAATAATTTACTTTTAAAAAAATGTTTTTCTCATGAAGCAAGAATATTTTTTATTAAATAGGGGCAATATTCAAGGTTCACATCTTCACAAAAAATGTTCT